TGTTGGAAATATCCAATATATCTAATGATATACATATTGGTATATTTCCCTGTGATCATGTTGGAACATTCCCTATATCTTTCTATCATATATACACATGGTTCTTTCCTTTCCTTTCTATCTAGGTATGGGATCATTCCCTATTGTGATCCTATATATATGTATACGCATACACACGTGTAGTGTCGTATTCATCCGTTCTCTCTCCTCTCTACATCTTGTTCTCTCTATCGTTCTTTTTCTTGTTGTTCTTCAATAAACATTGAACTCACGGTTCACACAAACTTACAATTGGCGACGAGATTATTTTCACAATAACGTTTATTCTGACAAGAAAATTATCGATAATGACAACAACAATTCCAGCACTTCATTCATTTGATCATCACAATTCAACATGGCAATCATACCGCGATCGAATTGATTTTTATTTCAAAGCCAACAAAATCGTTGACAATGACGACAAAAAAGCTCTCTTCTTGTGGTCTGTTGGTGATTCAACTTATGGTTTATTAGAATCATTAATGGCACCAGATCAACTGACCGATGAGAAAATAAAATATGTTGATCTAATAAAAAAATTAGATTTACATTATGATGCAACAAGGAATATAATGACTGCAACATATGAATTTTATTCATGTCATCAGAAGCCAGGCCAACCATTCTCAGAGTGGAAAGCTGAGCTTTGCAATAAGATGCGGCATTGTGGTTTCAATTCATCAAAATTAAAAGATCGTCCTCAAGATCGTGCATTACGTGATGCTTATGTTATTGGAATAAACAATCCAAAAATAAGACAAGCTCTTCTCAAGGAAGAGGATCCTGATCTTGCTGCCGCTGAAAAGATTATTCAAGTAGCAGAACGTCTTGAACAAGACGTCCGACAATTTAATTCATCGAATAATACAAATGTTCCAACAGTGGCTAAACTTCAACAAAAGAAATCAACAAGTAAATATTCATCATCAAATGGAAAATCATTTTCAACAACAACAACATCTGATTCATGCCAATCCTGTGGATCAACAACACATTCACGTAGTGAATGTAAATATCGTACATTTGCTTGTAATTTCTGCAAACGAACTGGTCATTTAGAACGCGTATGTCAGAAGAAGAAGAATGGAATTAATACATCTAAACGAAATCCAACCACGCATCAATTGAAATGTGTTAAATGGAACAAATCCAAGTCGACACAATTGTCAATATCACTTCGGATCAATGGTCGAGATTTTACTTTCGACGTGGATACAGGTTCTGATCATACAATTATTAGTTCAGATGATTGGAAACAACTTGGTTCACCAACAATTCGTCCAACTTCGTTGAAACTAGAATGTTATAGTGGTCAACAACTGGATATTCAAGGTGAATGTGATGTTCAAATACATTATCAAAAACAAAATTTCAATCTTACGATGGTGGTAATCAAACGAACAGGAACACCTCTTCTTGGTCTTAGATGGATTTCAGCAATGAAAATAGATCTCAATATATTACTTTATGGTACAAATAACACCAGTCAACAAGTGAACAAGGTGTATAGTCAAGGGAAATTGAACGAGATTCTGGACAAGCACAAGCAAGTATTCAGCAAAGATTTAGGTCATTGCACCAAAGTCAAAGCACATATACAACTGGTACCAAATGCTGTTCCAAAATTCTTCAAACCCCGACCACTACCATTCGCGTATTTAGATGGAGTGAAGGAAGAAATACAAAGAAATATAACAAATGGAATTTTGGAGAAAATTGATACTTCACAATGGGCTGCACCAATAGTCCCAGTTCGTAAACCATCAGGAAAAATTCGAATCTGCGGTGACTTCAAGGTGACAATAAACTCACAAATGCTCGTAGATCAACATCCAATACCGTCGATTGATGAACTTCTTACTCGACTTAATAATGGTGAAAAATTCACAAAATTAGATCTCACAGATGCTTATTTACAAGTTGAGTTGGATGACAGTAGCAAAGAACTGGTGGTTATAAATACGCCATTAGGTCTTTTCAAGTACAATCGAATGCCATTTGGTATCTCCAATGCACCCGCAGTATTTCAACGAACAATTGATCAAGTTCTTGCCGGTGTATCTAATAGTATAGCTTATCTTGATGATATACTAATAACTGGTAAAGATGAAGAAGAACATTTAACAACATTGGAATTAGTTCTGACAAAACTTGCTGATTTTGGACTTCGTTGTAATATGGAAAAATGTTCGTTCTTCCAAGATGAAGTAGTTTATCTTGGTTATGTTATCAATTCAAATGGTAAACAACCTGATCCAACTCGAGTTACAGCAATTCAAGATTTACCAGCACCAACTGATGTAAAACAAGTAGAAGCTTTTATTGGAAAAATTAACTATTATGGTAAATTCATCGCGAATTTTTCACATCTTTGTGCTCCATTAAATCGTTTAAGACAAAACAATGTAAAATGGAATTGGGATAGTTCATGTCAAAAATCATTTGACACATTGAAAAAACAATTAGCAGAAACAACTATGCTGGTTCATTTTGATCAACAACTTCCATTAATACTTGCAACAGACGCAAGCAGCTATGGAATTGGAGCTGTACTAATGCACAGATATGCCGATGGAACTGAAAAAACCAATCGCACACGCATCGAAAACTCTCAATTCAGCTGAACGCAACTACAGTCAAATCGAAAAAGAAGCCCTGTCTATTGTATACGGAGTTAAAAAATTCCATCAGTACTTAGCAGCAAAATCTTTTGAATTAGTAACAGATCATAGACCTTTATTGTCTATATTTAATCCTGCAAAAGGTATCTCAGTTACAACTGCAAATCGTCTCGCAAGATGGTCCATTGCACTGATGGGTTACAACTACAAGATTCGGTACAAACCAACACAACAACATGGAAATGCTGATGGTTTGTCAAGACTACCTGCTGGTGAAGATAAATCATTCGTCGATGATGAATCTATTCAAGTAAACCGAATTCAAGCTCAAGTTGTAGAAGAAGGTCCTGTTGATTCAAGAGAAATTCAAGCAGCAGTAGATGCTGATCAACATCTTCAATTGATAAAGAAATTTGTACTAAATCAATGGCCAAATTCAATAACAAGAAAAAACAATCCGGATTTATTTTCATATTTTACTCTTCGACAATCATTATCAGTGGCACATGGATGTATCCTGAAAGACACACAAGTGATTATACCAAAATCATTACAACTTCGTGTTATAAAAATGATTCATCGTGGACATCTTGGTGTTGTAAAAATGAAACAATTAGCACGTGTTCACTGCTGGTGGCCAAAAATGGAAATGGACATTGAATTTATAGCAAAGTCATGCAAAACTTGTGCTGCAACAGCACCTAAACCAAAAGAAGATTTCAAACCATGGCCCGAACCAGATCATAATTGGTCTCGTGTACACATGGATTTTCTAGGTCCTTTATGGAATTCAAAATGGTTAGTAATGGTTGATGCAAAATCAAAATTTCCTTTTGTAGCAGACATGGGAAACGATACAAGTGCAAAGAATCTTTGTAATGTACTTGAACAAGCTATCGATTGGCTAGGTCCACCAACAACATTGGTATCTGATAATGGTCCACCATTCACCAGTTTCGAAATGAATGAATTTTATAAAAAGTATGGAATACAAAATATCACCACAGCACCGTACCATCCTCCTAGCAATGGAATTGCTGAAAGATTTGTTAGATCTTTCAAGGAAGGTATGATCAAGGAACAAGAATCAGGTCAAACAAATAAATCAATTGCATTAAGAAACGTCTTAAGAACCTATCGTTGGACACCTCATACAACAACTGGCATTCCTCCAGCTGAAGCACTTTTTCAAAGACCAATTCGAACTGATTTAGCACGATTACATCCAAATCTAACAACATCAATACCTATACAAACAAGCAAATATGATGTTAGACAAGATATTTGGATGATGAACCATCAACGGAACAAAAAGTTTGAATGGAAATCAGGTGTTATTAAGAAAAAAATAGGTTCAATGATGTATCAAATTGAATTGGAAAATGGACAAACTTGTGTACGTCATCAAAATCAACTTCGATTACGACAAGAATCCAACAATCAATCAATCGATCTAGATGCTCTACCAGATGATCTTTTAAACCGCAACAAACCAACAACTTCTGATCAACAACAAACATCTCAACAATCACCTCGTTACCCACGTCGACAACGGCGACCACCTGATCGTTTTACACCGTCGTAACAATTTTAAAGGTGAAGGTGTTGGAAATATCCAATATATCTAATGATATACATATTGGTATATTT